ACCTACTGTATTTTGTATAAACAAGTCCCATCTTTCATTATACTTGTCCATACAAAGTCTACGTCTATAGGCAATCCGCTCATAAGCGGCAAGTGCCTTCAATCCATTGAGTGAATGGGGCCATATAGTTATCTTTCCAATGTTGCAATATCAGCCACAAATCATTGCTTAAAAATGATAATAGTTGGGCCAACAAACTCCAGGCCAAATCCACGCCAACCATATTGAGAGTACGCATGATGTGTGAAGGAGACATACAACATGTTAAAGCAGTTCAGAGTTCTGCACCTCCATTAAAAGTAGGGGCTCGTTTGTTCATTATTTATTTATATCTTAGATTTATATCCCACCTTCCTGATCAGGAGCTCAAGGCAGCATACCTAGCTCCTTTCTCATATCTTCTCCCAGAACAGCAATCTTGTGAAGTAGGTGGGGCTGAGAGAGAAAGAGACTACTCCAAAGTCACTCAGAGAGCTTCTGTGGTTGAGGGTGACCTGGAACCCCACTGTACCACACGGTTTGTCCTGTGCAGCATTAGATTAAAAGTTAGCTTTCATTTACTGTGTCATATATATGTTAGTGTGATCTTTTCCAAATCTCCTTGAATAACATATTCAGAAAACCTGTACCAAAGTCTTTCTTCCATGAAATGTTATTAGATATGATATATGGGGGCTCTCTTTTGCTAGAGAGTCATGTCTTAGAGATTCTCTTCTTGCATTTGCATTCTAGAACTAAAATGGACCTACATGAAGTCCAAGGTCCTATTCCAATTCTATGGGTTCTCTCTAGATAGTTCTTAAATATTTTACTACCCTTAGGTATCTCATACAACTTTTTGCCTTTGGGATTCTCCATAAGTACTGCAGTAAATATTGCAGGTTACAGTGTTAGATTTATTCATTTCACAACAGTCTCTTTTTGGTGACTCTAACAGATAGTTGCCATCTTCACCCCTTTTAATGTTAGAGCTGTGAAAATGATATGTTGTTCTGTGAAAGCTCTTGGCTCTAAATGAAGAAACCAGCTGGCATCCAAGTTGGTAATAGCATGGTCATTTAAAAAAAAACACTCCATACTGTATTGAGTTTTAACAGTTGCAAATCTAAGCAATGATTTAAAATCCGAAATAAGATTTGTAAAGAACAACCTCCATTTGAGCTTCCTAGTGTGCTAAGCACTTGTCTATTTAAAAATTAGCCCCATTTTGTTCAGTGGATGCCATGATTTGCAGAAACTTTTCAAAGGAATACTTTATTTTCTTTCTTCGTTTGACTGACTCCATCATTCTATCCAAGCAAGGTAGATGGCAAGCAAGGACAATCCACAAAGTGAAATTCTAAGCTAACTTTAATACTTAAAACAGGGAACAATTAAATGCATGCAAACAAGATATGTCTTTACACCTTTTCTTAAGAATTGGGTTTTATCGACTCAGATGCCTTCAAATGGTTCTATGGAAGTAACTTTTTGTGGTCTCAGAGATGAAACTATTTGGAAATAGCTATTTCTACTGAAGCTGACGCCTATCAATCACGTTTCTTTCAAACTTCAGGAAGAAGAGAAACACCTTGCATTATGCTCCATTAAGAAACAAGTAGTCCTTGTTTAGCAACTGCTGCATTAGGAACCATTATGATAGTGATGAAAAAGTAACTTTACAACCAGTCCTCGCATTTACGACCTTTGCAGGTCTGTAAAGCAAAGGAAAGGTGAAGTAAGATCATAAGCACAGTCGCGGTTTCACTTAGTGACCACTTCACTTAACGTTGCTGGTCTCAACTCTGGTCGCTGAACGAGGACTACCTGTACAGTCAAGGAAAAACATAGTTAGTTGAGCCAGATATATAGGAACCTGTTTTCTTTAATACAGTTCCCTGTACTAGTTGGAATGGAAAATGGCCTTCAGTTTGCATCAGTGGAATCCCAAACTTTTTGAAACAAAAATGGCATTGACCACTATCACATTTGATATAATATATCAACATACTGAGCAAATACAAGAAATATCTTCTTTGTAGAACTGATCAACTGTACCTGCACTTGACTTAGTATATCTAAATGTAACTTAAGGTTATAGAAATAGCACATCCATTCATCAGTACACTGATCAAGCAGACAGGAGCCTATCCTGAAACATCTGTAGTTTTATTATGTTAAACTATTAAACTTGAAACTATCTGACTGTCTAAACATACCAATCAGGTATGAGCAAGATGTAGTTTTCCAAAGGTTCTAGAGAAACAACTCCATTCTATATTGAAGAATATACATTTGCAGAAAGAATTATTCTAGATACATGTAAAAAAATTAACACTGCAGATGTTAAAAAATGGCTTCAAAAGGTGTGTTCTCTATTGATTATTAAATGCTGTTATATTATACAAATAAGAAGATGGAGCAATGTTTCTGTATGGTCTAGATTTAATGTTAAAGAACTGGATTAGTTTTATATCAATAGTATGTGGATTTTGTTAGTTTTAGAATATTATGCATTAATTTCATTTTTGATCTTCATTGCTGAAAATTACCATATTTATCGGCATATAACACGCACAGGTGTATAATACGCACCTTAATTTTAAGGAGGAAGTTTGAGTAAAAAAACTTAAATTTAAAGTAAATGACTTGGAAGCAAAATAAAGGGAGCACTGAACTTTTTGTTAATTAATATTTACACCACTTATAAGGTAAATACATAATATTTGTGGTGTCATGCAAATGGCCAAGGGATGATTGAGTGACTGGGTTAGCTCCATGTTTAACAGGGA